ATTACCGTTTTTAGTGTAATTGCATTTGGTTCAAACAGGATAAAAACATTTGCCTTTTTCTGAGAAAACTTCAGCATCCTAACCTGCACCACTAGTTTTTATATACAACCACCTCTATATTACATAATGGTAATGTAAAGATTATTTTGTAGCTTGCAAAAAAAAAAAACCCACAGTTTAAAAATCATCCTACATCAAAACAAGTTTTCCCACACTCGTTCTGACAGAGCAACAGCCTTGCCTTTCTTTGATCTTTTCTCCATATGGTCTATAACACATATGAGGCGTGCAATATTCAGCTGCCTAAACATGGTTGCTTAATACAGTCTCTCAGTCTTTCCACAACATCATTATATTTTCCTTGATATTACAACCAAATGGACTAGGCTGCCAGGCTCAGCTGTGTCAAAGTTGTTTACACTTCCCAAAAGAACAAACAGAAGCCTGCCACAAATGTGTTTTGTTCTTCAGTATGAAAAGCTACCTGCATTATCAGTGCAAATATTTCACGCATGCAAGCTTTTTGACAATTAGCATGGAAGATGCAAATTATATCATTAGAATATGCAAGGAAAATATTTTCCTATAATCAACCTGCGTTATTTCAAACATGGCATGATGTACCTCAGAAAAACAAATGGTAGCTGTGTAAATACAAAAGAAATGGCTTATTTATTGCATCCATTTTTCTTTTAATGCTTTGTGTTTGATCTAAATCAATTAATCAAACACAAATCGATCATTAAGGAGCCTAACCAAGAAGCCTCTAGTTATCAGAAACACAAATAGGTAGAGTAAAAAGGCAACAAAGACTACACTGATTAAAATGCAACTGTTAAACCATTTCCACACATATATTCGAAAAAGGATCAAGATAACTACAGAAATTATCCAGATTTGAAAGTGATGAAAATTCCAGGTTTTTACTCAACTTCTTAGCTTTCTGCTACTGTACTGAATTAAAAATAGTTCATAATCAGAGCTTAGTTTGTAAAAGTATGCTAATGATGCAGTGCACATGATGTTCAAGTGTCATCTATTCAATTAAATACTCAATTAGAATATTAGGTTTGAAGTTACAACACATTAGTCATTTAAAATTTGACTACAGAAGTCCAAAGCCCCATCTTCCAATGAGCTAACTAGTTTAGAAGTCCTGCTTTTCAGGACTGTCAAAATTCATCTCAAGATATCAACAAAACCTGAACTTCAATATGCTCAGAAAATGGTGAACTCTTTTTTTTCCCCATAGGTAATGCAAGTTAAAACCCACTTCGAAGCAACATCTAACAACTGAAATCAGGCAGGTCAGATAGCCATAGTAATGACCCCGAGAATGTCTCCTAATCGGTCTCAGTTGGAAATAAGCAAGCATACCAGCTAAATGACACTGAGCACCTTGAAGGGTGTATTATAAATGATATGCATCATCTAAACTATGCAAAACCTGAGCCTCATGTTACCTTTATCAGCAGTTTTTAAATTCTTGATAAAATCTATACCCTGTGTGTGAAAGTGACCTCATGCTTCCTCTACCAAAGTGAAAGCTAACAAATACTCTGTACCAAGAGCACAGTACAAGACATCCTGTCTCAATAATGTTGATAATCAGAATGGCAATAAATGTGGGGGAATAGCTCCAAAATCCTTCCTACATATAGCACAGACATGAGATTTTACACTGATAATTGAAGAGACAAGATCCTTATTATCCATTATTAGAATCAGCAGCTGTTCAGAGCTCATCTATATAAAATGGTGTTGAATTAGCTATAGCAAGTGATTCTGAAGCCTGTATATACACCTCTCCTAAAAAAAATTATAGATTACTCGATAGGTGTCCAACATTTCTATTATACTAATTTGAGTCCTACAAATCCACAGAAGATTAGCTGTCACTTCACACTTTATATGCTTAGAGGCACTCAGAGGAAATGACACAGCAAACTGCATTTCAAAAATGTCTATGCCAAGCTCCTTCTCTCAGGGACGAACAAAACCCTGTGGTTCTGATATCCAGGAAAAAAACAAAAAGTCAACCAGAACTTTAAGTCAGAGACAGAGAAAACAAGCTAAGTTTTTTCAAAGAGAAGAATTAAAAATCCAAAAGCTGAAGGACTACTTTCCAATGCTTGAAAAACTTACCTGGTGAAGAGAAAGGCAACATTCTAACACTGAATGAATCAGCTATTGGCAAAGAAATTCTGGCTACATGATCTGCTCCTCTGAACAACCTAAATTTTGTTAGTTTATTGAAAGAGTAAAAATAGAACACCAGAATCTCCATTCACAAACTGGTTTATGATCCGGATAAACAGTGTTCTCTTTTAGTGAGTTGAACCAGGCCAAACAGAAGATTCAAGTAAGTGCTAGTGCAGTTCAATGACCTGACTCTGCCATTTCTATTAAAAGCAAACTCATTGGAATTCCCATTATTTTGTTGGCACGTCTACAGGCAGTGGAGTTGGCTATCTTAGGATACCCACCAGATGTATAACACTTAGGTTTTTCTTGTATCCCTACCCCAGTCTCTTCAGACTCCAGCTTTATTCTGCACCTCTACAATGACTGCACTTAAAAAGAACACAAAGGTTTAGCCAACCCAGGGTCAAATTATTTGGAATAAGACACTATGGTAGAAGTCTCATTCCCTTCTGTTTCAAAAGATACCCAACTTGGAATGACAATGTTGCCTGTTCACAGAAAAAGCTTTCAAGAGGCCATATCTTTATGAATAATCTTGAAGTGGCCCTGCACACACAATCTCAGACTTCATTTCCTGTGGTTAATAAACCTGCAGGGAATTAAGTTCATTCCTCTTCCACCACAAATCTGTCTCCAAACTTGAGAGCAAGTATCACATTCAAAGCATAAGATGATACCAAAGGTCTGTAAAACCCTTCTCAGTGCTCCTAGTACCATGCACATATTTTGAGCCAAACAAAATCATAGCTCATATCCAAAGCTGAAATAAAACTGCAACTACCTTCTGTGTTATTCCAGCACATACAAGGAAATGAGGCTTAGATACCAGCTAATACCAGATAGATACCAGATGCTGAGAAATTGTAACTGCTTGCTGCTATCCAAAGAGGAAGCACTTTCTCCTCCTCTCTGCCATCTTCCCAACCTCTTCTACACAAACTCACTGCACCTCTCTGAAACCAACTTAACTTACTAACAACAGGGAAAGAAATTAAAATGAAGTTCGAAGGAGGCAAGGGGGGTCCCCTCTGAAGTTAGAGCATCTCGCTGATGAAATCAACAAGCAGAGTGAGCACAATATATGGGGATTAATTTAATAGTAATATATTGATAATGAAACCCAACCTGAACTGATTAATCTGAATGCCACATCCCCGTTACACATTTATGCAGCTTTTTTTCCTTTCGGTTACAAAAATGTATAAACATGAAATTTTGCAAATACTAGGGGTTCACAATGACAACCGTTTCACCCTGAAAGAAACTACACTCATTGAGTAACAACAAAATCAATGTATTCTTCAACAGACTTGTCTTCAGAGCCACATAGGGCATTTTTAACAAGATTATACAAGTTACAGGTTAAGGTATGTGCAAAGAAACTGCATGGGGCTTCTCCTGGTTCTAAAGTCCTACCTGCCTTAACTCTGGCAGAAAATCCAGAAAGGAAATTTCCTGTTTAGCCCATTACAGTGTATTGTGGAGAGCTCATAGACATCACCACAGTCAGAAGAGAGTGAGACCCTCTCCTCCCTCAGCTCTACACAACCGGCACAGATGTCCATGGATAAATGAAGCTTGCAATCACATCCTGTCCCTCCACTAAGCATTGGCTAAGCCACTATGACCTCCAACACAACAGCACTAATATCTGGTTTACCCCTCTCTGTACTAAACCTCATACACTAAACTCCTAAAAGCTAACCTTTAAGGAAAAGAAAAAAAGTTAATCTTTTCAGACAGCTAAATCTGCCAAAGGGACAGCCAGGTGAATGCCTGTGGACTGACACACTGGCTACCAAGCGGAGCAAGAAAGACTTGGCAGTCCCAAATGACAGGCGCATTTCACTAACTGACTAAAAGTCAATCTCAGCCATCTCTTTAACTTCCGGCAACTGATGACCTTAAAAAGCACTGACAGAACACAAGCAGAGAGGAATAGGGAACAGACCTGAAGTCTTTCCCAAAAACACAATTTTCAAAAATACACTGTCTTGTGAAATTAAACCTTTTTATTTCCTTTGCTTACCTAGAAATAGTCATGTTTCAGACTAAGAAAAGATAACCATTCCAAAGGACAATCAGTAAAATTTTGAATAGAAGAAAAATTGATTTACAACTTTAGTTATACACTCAAGAGAACCATGAAGATTAGAAAGCATATCTGTCAAGTGGCTTAAGGTTTCTTCCATTTCTTTTCATGCTACTTCCATAATCTGAGAGCCTAAAGCATCTGAACAACCACATCAAAACATATAAATTTTTGTTAAAGATATAAGTTTAAGGACACAGTCTATTCTTTAATATAGTGTAACTTAATGCACATTCCAAACGGTTTTTTGGTGCTTTTGGATGAATTAGCCTCCTCAATATTCTATAAAACCTGTAACTTGAATTAAGAATCTTCAAACTTAACTAAAAGCGTATCTGCCAATTTTATTGAAAGTTATATCGTGGGTATTACTGCAAGTTTTAGATATCAAAAATAATGCATCAATAACTTTTCAGACAATATTCAGATGGACTTTTTAACAGTGTTAGCAAGGCTGTATTTAATGAAGCAACATAACTGGAAAAAAAAACCTACTCTTTGTAACAACACTTGAGTCTACAGTTTTACAAATATAATAGAACAGGAGAAAGCCCAGCTAAAGGCAACCATGATATACACAGGTGAAATGCATGTGAAGCAATCAAAGTATTTTGCTTGTTACCTTGCTAAATAGCCAAAAATACTCATGAGCTACACCTGCCTGCAATCAAATAATAAAGTACTATTTAATAATAGATCCTACCTAAAAGCAGCTTCCCAAAAGCAGTTCATTCCACAAACATCAGAGGGCAGCATCCAATAGGAATTCCAGAAAGATACAGACAAATTCTTACACCTAACAGGATAAGACAAAAATAACCTATATAAGTGTTACTGATTTTATGGCAAAGTTAAAAAGATTATTTTCTAGCTCTAACATAACTTGAATAGTTAATTACCTGGCAGAAGACTGGCTACGTGACAGAACTTGGGTACTACAAAAGAGAAGCTACTAGGTGCCAACCAGGAGGATTCTTTTAAGGAAGACTGGTCCCCATCCTTTAGCCTTTCCTCTCCATGTATTTTCAGAGTGAAAAAAAACAAAGGGGCAGGGATTTCTGAAGGTCATTCTATGTTGTTGTCATAGTATAAGTCCATAGGTAATACGGCAACACTGTGGCAAAATCTCCACCTTTGCAATGCCTTTGTCTACTTCAAGCAGAGGAACAAGCGGATAATTTCTTTTTCAAAGTTACATTGTCTATTTAAACACAATTCCTATTCATCCATGACCCTATTCAGTGCAAACCTGCAAAGCTGATTTTTAACAAAACACAGGGCTTTGCAACACCAACAAATTCCATTGTTTCATAACAAAAGGTTAATGCAATACCAAAATAATCGCCGCAGCTGGCAATTTTCCTTCTCCACACTAATGACAAGACTAATAATTTATTGACTTGTGCCACACTAAAAAAGCAGGTTTAACTATAGTCCCCCACTACATTTTATGCAACAGTAATATAGAAAATATTTTAAAAGAGCAACAGAAGTGTGTTTCAGAGGCTCTGGTGAGGAAATCAACATCAAGATTTAAAATCTTAAATGACCAAGTACAATACTGCAAAGCAAGGCGTATACTCAAGTGACCTCCTCTGCTCCCTCTTCCTGCACAGGTGACATAAATGCCAATAATATTTATCCTCCTTTGAAAGTTGGTATCTGTAAGTGAAAGGGATACGCAAGAAGAAAACCCCCAAACAGCTTGATGATGAAAAGGTATTTAAGGACTACAGTTCAAAATGCTACGGGAAGTTGGCTTTGCAAATTTGAAATGCATCAGCATCATCTTGGTGCGATGACCTGGTACCTGTAAAGGCCAAAGTGTTCAAATACCAGACTTACTAGAATAACGTAGTCTCAAAAAATGGCAAGCTGTATAATGTCTTCTTTTAACACTTGAGAAAAATGACCTGGTAAACAGTGTTTCACAAAAGCTCATGAAGTGCTATGGTTCTTTGGACTAGTTCTTTGGTATCCTGCATGTGTTTGCAAGAATCAGTCAAGTCATTCTATCTCATGACTTAAGAATGGTCTCTACAAATAGATATTCAGGTACAAAAAAGGATAATGTAGATTGTGACTGGAATATCTGCAGTCCTCCGAGGAAAGCAAACAGTATAAAACTGCAAGTTCTGTCTGTCAGATTCTTTCATACATTAATCTTCATGGCTTTTGAAGTTTCTTAAAAACTTCAAGGCACATTAAGATCTTGTGCTTTTCTGAAAAAACATCTTTACAATCTCCAGCGTGAAGCATTTTGAATTAACTGTCCCACTGCTTTTAGGATAAATTAATAGACTCTCTCTCAGAAACAGTTTTCTGGTTTGAAAGACTATTATTATTATAGGGGATTCCTCTTCCAACTGTCAAGAGCTGTGTTTTTCTAGCTGCCTTGAGCTACTATCCAACCCAGACTATCAAGGCAAGAGGCAAGCTTGAATTACTGCCCAAGTCTTTTCTCTGATACATTAGGCCTTTCCGATGCCCCATTTACCACAATAACAAGGTTGTCAGCCTTAGATATGATTCATAAATTTTGTGTTTGAAATAAAGATGTTACTGGGACACATATATGTAATTTACCTAATGTCAGACTAAGACTTTTTTCCTGCCTTTTTTTCCAGAGAACTCTCTCTCAGCTGACCATATGGTACCATATTCCACAAAGCTTTGCGTACAAAGGATTAAGAGGCTGGAATCATTGGACAGCATTTTCTTCTTGTCGTTCACAATAAAATCATTCAAAATGACACTCATGAAGGTTTATTTTCATTTGAAATAAATTTTGAGGAAAGCTTAGACTACAAATAAGTATCACAAGTGTTTTACAAAGCTAGGGAGATGCACTGTATCTGTTCATCAAATGTGAACACTAATAGTTACCTGAGCAAGGTTACTAGTCAGACAGGAATAGTCACCTTCAGCATCAGGGAGAGATATTTTGCTCACACCTATTACAGGTTATGTGATTAAAGGCCAGTCTCCATCAACAGAAAGCAGGAAATAATGTCAGGTGAGGGAAACCCAGGAACATAGGGCACCTTGATCCAGCCCCAATGCAGAAGAGCAGTCAGTCAATGGGCCAGGCAGAAGGCCCACCAGATGAGAAAACAAGCGAGGCTCTCCAGACCAGCTTACCAGATGCCTACATAGGTGTGAGGCTCACTGTGGGACCAAGGTGAATTGGGGAGGAATGAGAATTTGAAAACAGAGAGAAGAGGGTCCAGTTACATGTAAACCCATGGCCAGTCAGTACAATTGGCTACGTTGCATGCCTGACAATCAGTCTCCTCATTAAACTCAATTTCTGTTTTCCTGGGTACTGGTGGGATCCATTCCATGCGCATGTACATGTGCATGCACAGAGGTGGAAATGCCAGTGAACGCAAAGATGGTTGCAGATCACAGGGGCCCATGAGCCTGCAGTGTCAGAAACCGCAGAGACCTGTGTGCACACAGTGTGTAGGTGTGCATGTCGGTACACATCATCACTAGCACATATCAAACCAGACTAGCCAGCAAGTATGAGCAAGAGGCTTGGGAGCCAGGTATCATATAGGTCATAAGGCTGAACCAGGCTGCAGCAATCAGAGGGTCTGAGCTACTTGAATGAGTCTCTCAACCTAACTACAAGAGACAAAGGCCTTAGGGATGGCTACTGGAAGGGTCATAAGGTCTAAGCCAGCCACTAGAGAGGCTCTGAGGGTCGGCTAATGCTAAGGCCATAGGTCTGGACCAGCTATTCGAAAGACTCACCTGCAGTCCCATGGCCAACTGAAAGATCCACAGTGTACTCATCTGTGCACATCCAAGAGGGTCCGAGTAGCAGAAATGAACTGGGCTGCAAGCTTAATGGGTTTGCATGCTCAAACCAGCAACAGAAAAGACCAGAGGATCCTGTTCCTGGATAGCCTGAGTGTCTAAGGCTGGTTACTGGAGGGAACCACACTGTATACAGTAATATATTTTAATTTAAAAACCTTTCACCCTAACCAGGATTCTTCTGCTGTTTGTGCACAGTCTCCTCTGTGGCCAGTCACGTATGTATGCACTGGGGGCATGTATGTCCATTGGGAATAAATGCTCAGCTTTGCTACCAGATGGACCCAGGGACATGGAGCTGCAGCAACCTCACCTTCATCAGGCTACTAGGCTGGACAACTCCTAACACAAATGACTGTCAAAAATATAAAACAAATAAAAGTTTTTTAGAATCACTAGTATAAGACAAGCATTTTCAAAGATCTGTTTGCCAGTTCAGGTTTCTCTCTAATTTAGCCTCTCCACCACTGGACAGTAAAAATTTTAGTCTTGCAGACATAGCAAAGGTACCTATACTGTGACCTGAAAAGAAAAACATTTTTCAGAATTAAGGGACAATTTTGTAGGCAAATTACACAATAATGCACAAGTCACACTGACGAAGACTGAAGCCCTGTGCTTGGAGTACTGTGTACAGTTCTTGTGTCCTCAACATAAAAAGGACATGGAACTGCTGGAACAAGTCCAGAGGAGGGCCACAAGGATGATCAGGGGACTGGAGCACCTCCCGTGTGAAGACAGGCTGAGAAAGTTGGGTCTGTTCAGCCTGGAGAAGAGAAGGCTGCATGGAGACCTCATAGCAGCCTTCCAGTATCTGAAGGGGGCCTATAGGGATGCTCGGGAAGTGCTGCAGAATGGCTCCAAGAGCAAGGCCATGGATCCTTAGAGGCCTTGTGTGAGCAAAGCAAGGTGTAGGCCTCACAGGTAACTGGAAACCGGATATGGGAGGAGAATGTGAAGGAAGCCGTGTAGAACTAACCAATACTGTTGTGACTAGTAGGCGTGGCTAACACCACGCGGATATAAGAGATGCGCGCCACGAATAAAGTAGGAGCTTGCTTATCACCCATATTGGGTTGGCGTGTCTTGCTTCTCCTCGCCGCTAACAGGGAAGGACTCTTCATTAGGGACTGTAGTGACAGGACAAGGCGTAATGGGTTAAAACTTCAACAGGGGAAGTTTAGATTGGATATAAGGAGGAAATTCTTTCCTGTTAGGGTGGTGAGGCACTGGAATGGGCTACCCAGGGAAGTTGTGAATGCTCCACCCCTGGCAGTGTTCAAGACCAGGCTGGACAGAGCCTTGGGTGGCATGGTTTAGTGTGAGGTGTCCCTGCCCAAAGCAGGGGGGTTGGAACTGGATGATCTTAAGGTCCTTTCCAACCCTAACTGTTCTATGATTCTGTGAATCTAAGTTTCAACCATAAGGAACGCCCCAAACATCAGTGCTTTCGTTAACTGCACTGGTGGGCTTGCCTTTAATGGAGATCACAGTTTCCAAGTATACTTTCCAGTCTGTGTGGCATCTTTTATCCTGCTGTAACTTCACAGCAAATTTAGCACTACATCCAAAGGGAGGGTTGCAGTCATGACTACTGCCTCCCTGTCAGCGCTGCATTAACAACCAAAGCCTAATCAACAAGAAGAAACAACTGACAGACAGACTGGTGCCTCTGCCACAGCACAACGTGCAGGAAAGGAAACAGGAAGGATGAATTTTTTTTAGTTCCTTCCTGCTCATCATCACAGAAGTGAAAATTTGGGAAGACTGATGCTCAATTCAACTCTCAAATGCACTGAGAATTTCTGAAGAGCTTTTCCTGAACACCTGCAGCAGTATCACAAATTTCTCATGATGTATTTTGTCAGAGAAGCAATGGCTTTATTAGACAGGAAACAGCAGATGTAATGTTAAATGTCTGATACAGGACAACTTTTTAACTGGAAAAACCTTGATAATGTTTCATTAATT